CTCGTTCATATATTGGATCATTTTGTGTTTACTGGTCACCAGGACCAGCACTGCTCATGTTTGCTTTTGCTAACATGCTAGGCTGTATTCAGTTGGCGATGCATGGACTGTTTTCAGTTTGTACACAAAATGTGCCGTACGACTGATCAGTAGCTCGAAAGCTAAAGCGTAAACAAGTGCTGAAGTAACAAACAAGCGCTGCCGTGAACGGCTGAAACGGTAACACACCCAACTGCACAACAAGCAGACTATAAACTTACGCTCCGAAGACTAAAGTTTACAAGGTACTGATCAACACCGATGCTACGAGTAACAGCGAAAGTAGAAAAACAGTACATTCAATGGCTTAAAAAGGAAGAGCTGAGTTAAGCCCTGACTGAGTACAGACGATACGAAGCCCCTAACTCGGCAGAGGTACGTCAGCAAAATCAAAACATCGTGGGTTGTGTATGTCAACCTGTTTGTTCAGTGTTCTGCCAGGCAGGCGTCAGGCATAGAAGCAATCTGTACACAAGCGCTAGTACGCGCTACAACGTGTCCCTGCTTTTCAACGCTTAATCTTACATACTTCAATACTTGGAGGGGGTAGTTACGCAATGAGTTAATAGTCAGCTTTATACTTTGGAGGTGTGGAGTTCAAACCTTAATCACTTTGTGAATTCTCTGCTCTTAACTGTTAATTCGCTTGAGCAAATAATTTGTCGCTACGGTGAAACTGTGTGAATCAAGTGACATGTTCAAATTCTTAAATCTAAACTATGCGTGCGTCGTTTCATGTTATTAGATTCGACCTCCTTGTTCAGGATCGGACCAAGACAAAAAAACCAGAACTGCCGCCGAGGACCCTAGGCAGAAGCAGTTAGCTGCATCGGCAAAACTTCGGATACATCAGATCAGCACATTTGTTCAAAATTTTAAGACTTCTGTAGACAACTGGAGGCAAGAAACAAACATGCAAGTAACGTAGACATCGGTGTTCTTGAAGCAGAAGAATCGTGTCGCGTCAGTTCTGACGAGGCCAATAACATCGAAGCTAGTTAGGTAAGGGAAAGACGTAAGAAGGCAAACGGAATCACTGAACAAAGACAGGTGAGAATCATCGAAAAGAATGTGCGCGAGAAAGATAAAAAACTGGGCTGCGCTAACCCCCCCCCCCGGATCAGGTGCATGCGTGCTGGCTTAAACGGCTAACATGTTTGCATTCACGAATAGTAGTATTCTCACAGAAACTGCTTGAAGAACGACCTCCTTCCTGGTTACGGAACGAGTGATACAACTAGCCTTGAGGGACAAGAACAGAAGCTATGGCGATGTAACTAACTGCCGGCCGATCACGTGCCTCTCAACGACCTGGGAACTTTTGGCGTCTACATTAGTCAACGTAGTTCACGAGCTTCGCGAGGCAACTACGGTGATATGCACAGAACAAAACGCTGCCGGACAAGATCAAGACGACATACGGATCGGTTGCACGTGAATAACGCGCGACATGACGCGAAATGAATAAAATCAATATGGCGATGGGTTGGATCGACTTTAGGAAGGCATTAGCGGAATGCCTGACACTTTAGAAGCTGAACGGCGGCCGACTAAAATTCTTCAAAGCAGTGATGAATAACGCTGCCATGTGACAAAGTATCTCTGGAGTCAGTAAAGAACAATCGAGGAATCATCCAGAGAGGTTCAGTATCGCCGCTTCCATTTTGCCTGACGTTGAATTCGCTCAGTTACTTGATGAATAGCGCCACAAAAGGATATATGTTGAAAGATGACCGCCCTTAGGTTAATGAACTGTTTGGAGTTGTATGAGAGCTGGAAAGAAGAGATGAATAATATGATGTAAAACAAATGAATCTTCTGATCTGGATAAATCAGCCACAGTCAAAAACAAGGTCTAGAAAAGATAAAGAATGGCGCTACCAATTGGTGAAACAAACAGCTCAAAACAAGGACATTCTACGTCTACCTCGGCTGCTGGAACTGGAGAAAGTATTACACAAAAAATAAAACAACAAAGAAGTAATACGATAAGAGAATCTGTCGAATCCTGAAGAGTCAGATGTGCCGAAAGAACAAATTTATGGTCATTTACCAGCACGCGGTACCAATGTTTACTTATATATAAGGCGAATTGGCGTAAACGATAAGGCCAGAACTAAACTGAAAGATAGGAAAGATCTGGGATCTTGAACATATACGGAAGGATACATCGAAAAGTAGATACGATCAGACTGTCCGCGCAAACACAGAAGAAAAGCACTTCATAATATCAAGAATACGCTGGAATTATAAACAATATTTGGCAGCGGCAGTAAATGATGGGATGCTGATGGTTAACCGTCCGTGCAGACTAGATTAGCAGCTAGAAATACTTCTTAAGATTTACACAGCACAGTTCAAACAGGTCAAGGATCCATGTCATTTTAACACTCATAGTGAATGGGCAACGAAACAGCGCGAAGTTGCGGGGTCGAATAAAGCGATTTTCGAACAATAATAAATGCACCTCTATTGCTAGGCATGTCTAATAAATTAAGTGTTTATTTGAATGTTTCTTCCATTATAAAACTTCAGAGATGGCAAAAATGAAAATGTTATTAACTACTATTATCAACTATTTATTAAAATTTATTAACTATGCATTCGAAGCAACGAAACATTGATAACGATTTGCTTAGTCAGAAATTAAAATTTTTTATGCAGTCGTACCTATCGTTTGCTAGAAACCCGGAATGATAGTATTCGATGTTCCGTTAGCCAAAGCGTACTGAAACTATTTAACTTGTGCGAATCAAAAACCGTTGTCCCATGCTGTGAAGGCTCTATCATCATGAAGTCAGGATTTGTTTGAAGGTTGTTCAATCAGGTTCACATTTCCAAACTGGTTGCATGAAACTACAACTACACGGTAGCGTATTGCTGTTAAGATACACTAGCTGCTATTTCGAAGAAGTTACTTAACCACTAGGTTTATACATAGTACGTACATACAATAAAATAGAACGTATACATCGTTCTACCTCTGCCTTATGTCTATGGTTCTCACTGTCATGTTTCAGAGACAGTACAGCGTAATTTGGAATTAAAGCGCAACTTCAGCTATTTGCTTACGTTCAGTTTCCTGACATTTAAACAGATTTATTTAAAACTATATACTGCCATAGCGGATTT